AAAGAGGGTATGAAAGTGTTTACTATTGCTCCCTTGAGTATTGCCACAAGAACTAATAGGAAGTTAAATATCTCTCATCTCAGCTTGGGATCTGTTGATTGATTGCCTTTTCCCAGGCTAGTTGAGGTTTTCCTGTTTGAATATTATTTTGTCAGACTCAGTCTTGTTGAAATTCTGTGAAGAATGTTGATAATTTTATTTAGCAAGTTCAAGCTGCAACTCCTAACTCCTCTGAGGCATGATGCTAATATCAGTTCATTTTCTAAATCTTGCAGTCCTGTTTGCATCTGTTCTGCATATGACCAGTCCTGTCTGGTGCCTGTACAAGATGTTAGTTCGGTTCTCAAGTCTTTGATGTTGTGAGTGGGATCAGGTCAAACGCTAGGAATCTAGGGGTAAACCCAGGCGTCATAAACTGGGTTGCTTTCCCCTGTTCCTCTTTTTCTGCTATTTTGCTGGTTACCCAGGGTTCCTGTTTTTGTCATCCAGCTGAAAAAGCTGAGTTTTCCTTAGTTTTTCTACTGTGCACTGTACTTTTCTAACTATGTTGCATGTGTGGCTAAACGTTTGTTACAGGTTTTGGTTTCACAAATTTCTTCTGTTTTTCTTTTTCATTGACTCTACTTTTAACCTATATTATTTTCTTCTTCCTTTGGTTTAATTTTTTTAAATTTATTAAGGTGGAAGCTGAGGTCGTTTTGTAGTAATTAACTTCTGTAATAATCTTTTTGTGTGTGTGTGTGTGCTACTGGAGTTTGAACTCAGGGCTTTGTGCTTGCTGGGCATGTCTACCGCTTGATCCATATCTCCAGCTTTTTTGCTCTGGTTATTTTCCTTCTATTTTTATGCCTCCTGTTATCATAATGGTAGGTGTGCCAAAACTTTTTTGTCCCAACTGGTACAAGACTGCCATCCTCCCCATCTCAGCCTCCTTAGTAGCTTGGGGTGACAGGCATGCTACCACACCCAGCTATTGGTTGAGATGACATCTTGCCAGCCTTTTGCTGGGACTGGCATGGAACTGGGATCCTGCTTTTCTCAGCCTCCCAAATGGTTAGGATTACAGAAGTCTGCTACCAGCACTGGACTTGTAATGGTCTTTTTTTTCTGACTGCTTTTACAATGTTCTTTCATTATTACTTTTCAGCAATTGGATTGTGTTTTTGTTTCTTTTTGTGTTGTTTGTTTAATCCTGCTTGGAGTTTTATAAGACTCTTGGATCTGTGTGTTTAGTGTCCATCAAATTTGACAATTTTCATTATTTTTCTCACCTTGGTCTTTATTTTCTCTTGGTATTCAGGTTACATGTATTAGACCAATAAGTCATTGAGATTCTTTAAACTCCATTTCGAGTAGATTCTATTACTGCTTTCAAGTTCACTGCAAATACTGTATGTACTGTACAGTTTTTATATTAACCACAGTGACTGCAACTTTGTTGCAGTGTTTTAACATTCTTTGTCTATACAGTTTCTATTCCAGGTATTTTCTTTTGTATTTGTTGTTGAGTGTTTTTTTCTTTGTTTTTGTCTTTTTCAGTCAGGATTTTGCTATGTAGGGCAGGGTAACCTTGAACTTGTGATCCTCTACCTCCTGAGAGCCGTGATTATAGAGATGCACCACCACACCTGTCTTGAGAGTTCCTATTTCTTTTTGTTTTTTTGAAAACAAAAAAAAGTCTCACTTACATAGCCCATGCTTTTCTCAGCTTCCCAAATGCTGGGATTACAGATGTACACCACTATGCTCAGTTCTTGAGATTTCCTGTTTTCTAATTGTGTTGATTTATTTTTTTAAAAATTCTTAAAGGGCTGGAGGAGTGGCTTATGTGGTAGAATGCCTGCCTGACAAGCATGAGGCCCTGAGTTTAAACTCCAGTGCTGCCAAAATTAAAAATACATAAATAAAAAAAATTCTTGGGTATAATAGTAACTTGTTTTAAAGTCTTTATTCTCCATCATTATATCTGAGTCTGTTTTTCCATCGATTAACTTCTTATCCCTATAGGTTATGGCTCACAGTTTCCTCATTAGCATTTTTAGTAAGCCCCCACTCTACCATAATTTTGGGTATGATGGACACTTGGATATTGAATGGATCCTGTTGTCTTTCTTAATAATTTAATTTTGGCAGGCAGTTAAGTTTTTATACATCACCTTGTTCTTTTCAGTACTTGTTTTTAAGCTTTCATAAAGGCAGATCTAGGTTAGCCTTACTCCTAAGTTTAGGAGTGGGCTTTCTGGGTATTTGCTAAACCTAAGACTGTTTAGTGAGTCTTTTAAGTGAATGTTTGGACCTCTATTGTATCAGTCATTTATGAGCACCTATAGTTCTATGCTCTGCTTCCGTAGACTCTTGCTGTACAACTAATAATTCCTATGAAGATAATAATATTCTCCATTCTGACAGGTTTTTTTTGGGGGGGAGCAGTCCTGGGATTTGAACTCTGGGCCTCACCCTTGGTAGGCAGGCTTGCCACTTGAGCCATTTCACCAGCCTCTGATAGAGAGTTTGGAAGTTTCATATCTATGATACCAAGCCCCACAGATTCTAGTTATCCCAGGAGTTTCTCATTGATACCTGGTCAGGTTAGTGAGACTGTTGAGCCATTTCACAGGCTCTCCCTCCTCAGTCTGCAGTCTGGAAAATGCTTCTAGGCAAAAACAGATTTTTCTTATGATTTACCTTGCTTCCTTTTTGAGATGACAATCCTGTGTTGACTTTGTCCAACAGCTGACAACAGTTTTTCCTATTTACTTTCTAGTTTCATGAGTGCAGGAGGGTGATCTGTGTCAGTGATGCCTATATGTTTGGAAGTAGAAGTCTTAGAGTGTATAGTGCCAGAATGCAGCACGTGGGATTTTATTACCTATTAGAACAATGCAGTCTGTTTTAACTATATCTTCTTTTGCTTCAGTTTCTATAGCACAGGGTTAATATTTAAGAGTTTAATTAAAGATAATTAATTAAGATAATAGTGTTTAGTTTTATAGTATTTTTAAAAACAAATCTATTCTTTGTTATTTCAACCATTTTCAGTGTATATTTCTTTGACATTAAGTATATTAACAATGTTATGCCACCCTCAGCACCATCCATCTTCAGAACTCTCCATTTTGCAAAACTAAAGCTGTTAAGCAGTAACTTTCCACTCGCTTCTGTCCCTATCCCTTGACAACCACCTAGTGGTCCTTTTTGTCTCTGAGTTTAACTACTTTACCTCATATAAGTGGAATCATGCATTGTTCTTCTTTTTGCGCCTAGTATTTTTCACTTAGAATAAAGGAAGTTTGCTGAGGACTTTTCCTCAAATTGCACCCTTGTTGTAGCATATTAAAGATTCTCTCGCTTGTGGATAATGTGCCCATGGGCATGGTGCTAGCGCTCTGAGACTTTGCCTTCAGTTCTTCTGAGTAGAGGCCCACATAGCAGAATGGAATTTTGCTGGATCATACAGCATTCTTTTTTTTTGCCATGGTACTAGGGATTGAATTCAGGGCCTTGTGTTTGGCTAGGCAAACACTCTACCACTTGAGCCATGTGTCCTTCCCCTTTTTTCTTTATTTTATTTTTCAGATAGAGTCTTTAGCTTTTGCCAAGGCTGGCGTGATGTGATCCTTCTGACTCCACCTCCTGTGTAACTGGGATTACAGACCTGTACCATCACACCTGACTATTTTTAATTTCTGCAGAAGCTCCCACACACTGACTGTTTTTCCTCAGTGGCTCTATATTCTATATTCTCTATATTCTCATCAATAGCATAAGGGTTCTGATTTCTTTACATTCTTACCCTTATTATAATCTTTATATTCTTCCCTCCCTCACCCACCCACTCCATTATGCCCAGGGCATTGTGCATGATGGGGGAGCCCTGTCATTGCACTGCATGCACAAATCCTTTTTAAAACAGTAGCGTACTAGTTGAGGTGAGGTGGTGTCTCATAGCTTCACTTTGTTTTTCCCTAATGATAGGTGATGCTGAGCACATCTTCATATGCTTATGCCATCAGAAATATTCAAGTCTTTTGCCCATATTGAAATTGTTTTTGTTATTAACTTTTAGGAGCTCTTTATTCTGAATAGTAATTACTTAGATATGTGATGTGCAAATATGTGAATTGCCTTTTTACTCTACTGATAAGTGGTATTTTTGGTTTTTTTTTTTTCCTTCGTAGTCTTGCTGTGTAGCTCAGGCTGGCCTCCCGCTCATGATACTTGTATTTTTGCCTCCTGACTGCTGGGATTACAGGCTTCTCTGCTTGATTATCTTGTGTGTGTGTGTGTGTGTGTGTTCCTTTAGTGGGACTGGGGTTTGAACTCGGGGCTTCTTGCTTGCAAAACAGGCACTCTACCACTTAGAGTTACAACTTCAGTGCATTTTGCTCTAGTTACTTTGGAAATGGAGTTTTGCAAACTATTTACCTGCTCTTAACCTCCCAAACTAATAACCTCTTAGGTTATCAAAGCTAAGGCTTTGATAATTGTTTTTAATAGTAAAACTAATACTAAATTTTGTTATAAAAAAAAAGGAATACACTTTGAATAGACTGAAAAAGGGTCACTTCTAGTGTGGGAAGGACTTGATAGTGGTTTTGATTTGCATATTTTTAAAATTTTTTCATGATGTCCATTTGTCTGTTTCTTTTATTGTTTTTGCCATTGGTATCAGATCCAAGAAATAATTACTAAATCCAGTGTTGTAAAGAGTTGGCCCTATTTTCTTCTAAAAGGTTTTTTGTTGTTGTTGTCACTGGGATTTGAACTCAAGGACTCACACTTTCTAGGCACGCGTTCTACAACTTGAACCATTCTACTAGCCCTTTAAGAGTATTGTAATTGTAGGTCATACATTTAAGTTATGGATCTATTCTGAGTTAATTTTTTAAAAACATTTTATTTTATTGGTGGTTCTGGAGTTTGAACTCAAACTTTATTCTTCTGCTTGAGCCACACCTCCAGCCCTTGCGTTGATTTTTTATATATGGTGTTAAGTACTGCTGAATTTTTTTTTTTTAAATTGACCTCATGATTTTATTTTCTTCATAAGAAAAAAAAGATGTTGCTTAGAACTGGATCACTTGCCCCTTTCTCTTTTTATCCCCTCCCAGTTTAAAATGCCTGCATCTTTTGATAGCCAGCATTCTCTTAGATCTGCAGTTAAGCTCAGCACACTCAAGCTTTAGCAAAATTTTCTTTTTATTTTTAGCTTTTTTCTGGAAAATCAGTTTAGTCTGCCCACCATAGCCACTATGCTTCCTGTCAAAAAGACATTTTCCCTGGGTATGCAGAGAATCCTTGCCCTTCTGGTACTGGATCGCTTGGTGAGGTTGGTGCTTGCCGCACTTTTTACAGAAAGTTCGATGGGTTTTAGGAGCATTAACCATGATTACAGGAGGGCTAAAACTGCTGCATTCTTTTGCAAGTAAATACGCAGTCTTCCCACCACCATTTGTTGAAAACACTGCCCTTCCTCCGCATTTTTGGCACTGTTACAGAAAATCACTCAAGTAAATATTTTTGCAGGGCATATTTCTGGGCTCCTCCATTTATGTATATGTACTTTATTCTACTGCCACACTGTTTTAATAACTGTAGCTTTGTAGTAAGTTTTGAAATCAAGAAGTCTGAGTCCTCCATCTTTGTTCCTTTTTTTTCTCCTAGATTTGTTTGTATTATTTGGGGCCTTTTCATATTCCACATGAATTTGGAATGCGTGCTTTTCTCAGTTAAAAAAAATAAATGATTTCAATGGGGGTTGCATAAATTCGTAGTTTTCTTTGGTAGGTCTTCCTGTACATGAGTTTGGGATATTTTTCCATTTATTTGTATCTTTCTAAAATGTTTTTTTGTAGTTTTCATTATACAAGTCTTTCACCTCCTTGGTTAATTCCCACGTTTTTATACCTTTATATTCTCTTCTAAATGAATTTTCTTTTGTTTCTATTTTTTTAGACAGGGTCTCACTATGTAGGTTGACCTTGAACTCCTAATACTCTTGGCGTCAGGAACTTCCCAAATCCTGGGATTGCAGTGGGGTGGCATCACATCTGGCTTTGAAGTTGTTTCTTAATTTCCTTTTTGGATTGTTTGTTGTTAAGTGTATAGAAATGCAACTCATTTTTGTGTATTAGTTTTATAAACTGCCATTTTGTTGGATTCCTTTATTCTAACAGTTCTTTAGTGGACTCTTTCATGATTTTGTAAATATAAAATATTGTCTTTGAAGTGTATAATTTTACTTCTTTCCAGTTTGAATGCATTTTATTTCTTTTTCTTGCTTGATCGCTTTGACTAGGACTTCTAGTACTCACTAAGTGACCAAAGTAGGCATCTTTGCTATTTCTCATCTTTTGAAAAAGCTTTTAGGTTTTCAAGATGGGTTGTCATGCTTGCTGTGGGATCTTCATACTTTTTGTTATTTTTTATGTTGGGGTAGTTTTTATGTTGGGGTAGTCCTAATTTGCTGAGTGCTTTTATCATGAAAAGGGTGTTGAGTTTTGTCAAATGCTTTTTTATACATGAATTTCTATGATTGTGTATTCTCTGTTAATGTGATATATGAATTTTTTTATGTTGAACAAGCCTTGCATTGCAGGAATAGATTCTAGTTGATTATTGTATATAATCCTTTTAATTTGTTGCTGTATGTGGTTTGTTACTATTTTCTTGAAAAATTTTAAAAATCATTCATTTTCTATTCTGTGATTACTTTATAAGGTTACATTTTAATTAAATAAAACTTATGTTAGAGTTGAATTATATATAGATCTGGTCATCTATATATCTTTGAGGAGAAATAAAAAACTTTTTTTTTGAGTGAAATATGCTGCTTTGGGGTAGTATAAGGTTTGACCTCAGGTCCTTATACTTTTCTGGTATTCTTATTAAACTTTATTTGCTGCTAGAGTTTGTCAGCAGGCAATGTGGGATTACCCATATTTTGAGATTGGTAGTTTTTCCATTGGTGATACAGGGATTTGAACGTGGTTGCTAGGCAGGCTCTCTCCCATTTGAGCCCCACCCCGCCAGCTAGTTTCTCCTTTGTATGAAGAGTGCTCCCACTTATAAGAACTGTTGTAGAATTAATGCTTTTAAGTAAAGAAGATACTAGGATTTATTTACTTAAATGCATACCAATTCTTGATAAAGATGAATGGTTATTTGGAGGAATATGCAATTTCTGATTTTACATGCTTGGGATCCAGCCTAGGTCTTTGGCATGCTAGGCAAGCACTCTGGTACCAAGCTAAATAAATTCAGTTCCTGAATCCATTTTTATAGGTCACATTGAAATGGGATAATTGAAGTCATGATGTTGAGGAAACTTAAAATATTGAAGTCTGTCCAGTTTCATTACTTTAGAACAAAATAATCTTTCTGTTCTGAAGTATGATAAGATAAAAAGCTTATTGCTGTATTATAGAAACAGTCCACTCAGAAGGGGAGGTTTGGTTTGTTTTTTCTGGTGAGTTTTATTTTATTTTATTTATTTAGTTTTTAATTATTCATTTATTCACATGTGCATACATTGTTTGGGTCATTCCACCCCCGCCAGGTTTGGTTTGTAATGTTCTTGTGGTATACTTATTTATTTCGGAGATTATCCAGTTGGTTAATCTTGTATATGTGTTTATTTTTTCACTTTATTTTTGGTATTTTACTTGCTATTTGTTTACAAAACTGAGTAAGCAAAGAATCAAGGTCAGATAACAGTTGAATTTGTTGATTAGAAGATCTGATAAAAGACTAAAACTCTTGTTATTAATATCTTGTGCTAAATAACATTTCCTCGTTTTTTTGTATGTGGTAGAGTTGAGATTGTAGTCTAAATGTTTGACACTAACTCTATAGATAGGTAATCTCAGGCAAGTTGCTTGTTTTCTAAATTTTTGCCTCTGTACACTGAAGGTGGAACCTTTTGTGGCTTAGTTTACAGGATTATCAGGAACATAAATGACGTGGTAATGTGGAATTCTTTTCATAAATAGGGTGCTGTTAGGGCTGGTGAAGTGGCTCAAGTGGTAGAGTGCCTGCCTAACAACTGTGAGGTCTTGAGTTCAAATCCTAACACAGCCAAGAAAAATGGTGCTGTAAACAAATGTGAGGTCTTTCCAATCATACAATTAAAAAAAAAATGGAACCCGGAATTTTTTAAGTTCAACTATATAAAGTCACATTGTACATGTGAAATAATACTGTCCGTGTCAGTGGTGTGCTAGTGGCCTTCCCTGTAATCCTAGGTACTTGGTAGGCTGAGATCAGGAACATTACACTTCAAAGCCAGCCTGGGCAAGTAGTTCATGAGACCCCCATCTCCAAAATAACCAGAGGAAAATGGCCTGTAAGTATGGCTCAAGTAGTAGAGTGTCTACTTGGCAAGCATGAAGCCCTGAGTTCGAATCCCATTCCCACCAAAAAAAGAAAGAAAGAAAGAAAGATCAATGTCTGTTTTTATATGCTAAATGTAAGCTGTTACTATAGAATAGTAAACTTCTGTAAGTTTGAAATTAACACTTTCTTGTTAGGAAAAATCAGAATGTTTAATGGCAGTTGTCTCTGCAGTGGGATTATGGGTTTCATTTTCTTTTTTTTCTTCCTTTTCACTACTTCACTAATTTGTTGAGGTGAATTTTGTATTTTGCAATGTTTCTCTTATGAAAATTTACCTGGAATGCAATGCTAGGGTGAAGATACAGTAATGAGGCTCCCCAATTTGTGTACTTGTTACTGGAGAAGACCTTGACTCTGGTGGTATCACACAGTTAGCCCTCTGTGTCTTCACATCCCATTTCCACAGACTCAACTAGTCATGGACCAAAAAGCATCTGTACAGATTACGTACACCTTTTTTTCCTGCTATTACCAGCTACTTCCATAGTGTTTATGTTTGTTAGTAATTAGAAATAATCTAGAGGTGTGTTAAAACATACAGTGGCTCACACATGTAATCCTAGCTACTCAAGAGGCAGAGATAAGGAGGATCATGGTTCAAAGCCAGCCCGGGCAAACAGTTTGTGAGACCCTATCTCAAAAAAATCCATCACAAAAATAGGGCCAGTGGGATGGCTGAAGGTGTAGGTCTGAGTTCAAACCACAGTACCACCAAAAAAAAAAAAAACCCATCATAGGGGAGGGTGTATGTAGATTGCATGCATTGTATCTGAGGGACTTGCAAGTCCTGTGGCCCTGGAATACCAGGGGTACCAGTCTGTCACAGACCCCAGAGACTGCTGTGTATGCTATATGTTTTAGAACTTCAAGCCTTTGTCATGAAAGCTACTGATTTCAAGTTAACCGAAAGGAAATGTTAACCCTGCTCTGCTGGTGCAAATCTAGAATCCCAGCACTTAGGAAGCTACGGCTGGAGGATCCTGACTTGGAGGCAAGCCTGGCCAATGTAGCAAGACCTTGTCTCAAAAAAAGAAAAAGGGGCTTTTAATAACTTATTGCTATTTCAACATCACATTAATTTTGGATTTTTTTGTACTTTTATTTTTATTAGCATGTATTAATTGTACAGGAGGGTTTCGTTGCAACACTTACATATATGCTTATTATGTATGTTAACGAGATTCACCACCTCAAACATTCTCCCTTATCCTCCCCGCCCCGTTATTAATCTTCTGTTCTTTTCCTTATCTTTTGGTGACTATGTTTATCTTTCTTTGGTGCATATGTCTACGACTGGAATTTCTGGATCAAACAGTATGTGTATGGTTAGTTTTATTAGATACTGCCAAACTTTTTTAATTGGCTTCATTGACAGTTTACTTTTTTTATATCATAAAATTCATTCTGCCAAAGTTTTCCAAAGTGCTTGAGCCACTTTTCTCTGCATCAGTAACAGGTAAGAATTGAATTGCTTCATAGCTTTACCAATAGTTGATATTATCTAAGTTTATGGCAGGAAGTTGATTTTGATGTAATTTAAGTACTTTTTAATGTGTTTACACATTACTGTTTTCTTTATTACTGATGTTAAAAAGCTTTAAAATATGTTCTGGGTATAAGATCTCTGAACATATTAATTGTAAATGTCCTGTAACTGGCTTCCCTTTTTATTATACACGTTGTTGAACATTTAAATTTCCTGTTTAAGGGATTTTGCCTTTGCCACTGTAATAAAGACATTTTCTGTTTTGTTTTTCTACAAGCCTCTTTACTAACCTCACATTTAGATTGGCAATGCTCTTAGAATTTTCTTGGTTTGGTTATTTCTTTTTTTCTAATTTTTTTCTTTTTGTGGAACTGGGGCTTAAACTCACAGCCTACACCTCTCAAGCCACTCCACCAGCTCTTTTTTGTGATGGGGTTTTTCAAGATAGGGTCTCGCAGACTATTTGCCTGGGTTGACTTTGAACAGAGAACCTCCTGATCTCTGCCTCCTGAGTAACTAGGATTATAGGCATGAGCCACTCGCCCAGACTCACTAACTATTTGACCAGGCTGCAATTCTCCTTGATCTGTGTCTCCTGCATAGCTAGGATTACAAATGTGAGCCACCAGCACCTGGCTATCTTTTTTGTTTATACATTTTTTTCATGTTTGTGTTTCAGTTTTTATTGCTATCTTCTATTTCACTGATTTTTTTTCTTCTTCTGAGGTGTTACCTGGTGAAGTTTTTATATGTACATTTTTATATTCTTTTTGTTTAAATTCAGGGTCTCATGCTTGATAGGCAATTGTTGTACCATGATCCTTCTACCTAAGGGATGGGACCACAGGTTCATGCTACCATGTATGGCTTATAAATTGATAATGAGGTTTTGCTAACTTTTTGCCCAAGTTGGCCTCCAACCATGGGCCTTCACATTTAGCCTTGTCTGGAAACTTGCTGTAGATTTAAAATTATTTTACTGGCTATAGCTTTCTTTAAAGTGTGTTAGGC